CCCTTCACCACTTTTTCCTTTTCCTTTAAACACAACACACACATGAAACAAAGTGTAGTGCGTGGTGTGTGTTTAAAGGGAAAGAACAAAGGGGAACAAATGAAACGAGTCCAGGGCTGTGGCCAACACAGACAAACCGTAGATACATGGGGGGGGGTAGCATATATATATATATATATACCCCAGAAAGCCTGAACCTTACACCTTACACCCTATAAGCCCGAGAAGCCCCCAGACCCTATCAAGCCCCAACAGCCATAGAGCCTGTAAGCCGTGGAACCTCGACCCTACAAGGGTTTAGGCCCCTAAACCCTAAACCCTAAACCCTAAACCCTAAACGGTTTAGGGGTTTAGGGTTTAGAGGCCTGAAAGCCCTGCAACACGATCGAGTTGCCTATGTCGATCATGTCTTGCTATGTAACACGAACCCTGGCTTCGAGAAGGGCACCGATAGCACAAGGACCCCAAGAGTTAGAATAGGGCCTGCCTGCGGTATGATACTAAAGAAGGAATCCGCAGGACGAGGTACATGACACAGCCAGCTTCTTGGAAAGCCCCCGCCCCCCCCACCCGCCACTCTCCTCTTAAACATCCACGCCCAAAACAGCTCAACCTTGAAACTACACGCATAGACGAACCCTAAACTCTAAACCCGAAACTCCAATAGTAACTCTGAAAAAGTAGCAAGGGGCCGGACCCGGGTACCCGAGTTTAAGAGCAGTCCTCCAAATCGTGACCAAACCCTTCTTCGTCGGTCGCACCGTCCTTTCAGGGCGTTATGGGTCTCAGAAGGTCGTATAAGGGGTTTCCGCACTTTATAACCCTAAACCCTAAACCCTAAACCCTAAACCCTAAAATTGGAGGAGTTACGGTTTCGGGTTCAAGGTCTCAACAAATTTTGTTGCAGTGAGTGCATCGAAGGGCTAGGATGAAGTTCTTGCATTTTGTGATGATTAGATTTAAGATAGTTACACATAGCTTTAAGTTCCCGATCTTGAATGTTAAACCCTATGATAGTTACACATAGCTTTAAGTTCCCGATCTTGAATGTTCAACCCTATGAACCCCTTGAACATCCCGATAAAACACTGATGAACAAAAACAACCGAACAAATCCAACATCAACCCGTGCACAACCCTTGCAGAGCCTTAGAAACAATCTACTCGCAGGATCCACTCCGATGGCGACGGTCCTCGTCATCATCGGTGTCCCACTTCTTGTCGTCCTTGTCGTCGTGCCAAAGCTTAAAGATGTCCCGCCTCAGCTCATGGTTAGGGGCCGGGGTTCAGGGGTTTAGGGCCTAGGGCTCAGTCTTACAATTTGATATTACAATGCTCTATAATACTTCCTGTGCAAGGGTACCAACACACCTGGACGCAAAAAGTCGAGTGACATCCTCTGCCCTAAACCCCAACACCCTATCCCCTCAACAGAAGAAACCAATCCTAGATGCTAAACCCTAAACCCTAAACCCTAACCCTGAAACCCGAAGCCGCACTGGCCGCACTCCCCTAAATCCCTAAACTCTCTTTAAGCTCATCAGGGGTCTAATTACACGATTTGAAGAATCAAAAGGTGCACCTGACCCAAGGCGCTGCGCGCTTCTTCTTGGTCTTCGCCGCATGCCACACGCGACGGCGGAAAACCCAACATCCCAGACCTTCCAAGAGCCCCTAATTGAGGAACACACCTTAACTTATAGTAGGATCCCTGAAAGGGTTTAGGGCATATTCCTTTTTAGGGCATGTTGGAAGGTCTGGGGATGTTTGAACAATGCAAATCGGCCAGGGCCTGCGCGATTTGATACATCACCGGCACCTGTTTGTGGCATCTCGCCGTAGTCGGAGGCGGTATCTGGCGACAAGCCGCAATTGCGAAGCAGGGCCGTCCTGCATTATCAGTTCATGGAAGAACCCCTAAACCCTAAATCCTGAACTGCCACGGCGGCTCAGCGTCTCATCCGAACCTTCCCTTGCCAAGCACAAGATCTTGGTCCTCAGCTTTCCTCGGTGGCCCGTTTCTCGCAAAAACTCAGCTCACCACAAGCAACCGAGAGCCTTCAATCACCTGAACTACTTCAGGCCGAAGTCCGTGGGACTACAGGTTTTCGAGGTTTGGATCATGAACTGCCACATAAACCCCCAAAAAAATCGAAATCCCCACCCAAAACTCCACAAGGCTTCAACCCCCAAAAAACCCTCCACCACCCTCAAACCCCCAAAACCTGAAATGCCTGGAACGTTCCCTAAACCGTAAACCCGAAACCAGAACCCGGGGCATGAACAAGGAGTAGACTCCCCAACCGAATCTAGAGGACTCCCTCCAAGAGGGTTTGGGGTTTAGGGTGTAGGGTTTAGGGTTTAGGGGTTTAGGGGTTTAGGGTTTGGGGTTAAGGGTTTAGGGTTTAGTGTGTAGGGTTTAGGTTTAGGGTTTAGGGTTTAGGGTTAAGGGTTTAGGGT